GCAAGAACTACTTCACAGTTAGGGCGGCTAGGAGCTGGAACCAACTTCCTAGGGAAGTGGTGCTGGCTCCTACCCTGGGGATCTTTAAGAAGAGGCTTGATGACTACCTGGCTGGACTCATTTGAGTCCAGTTTTTTCTCCCGCCCAGGCAGAGGGTCGGACTTGAAGATCTACAAGGTCCCTTCCAACCCTACTTCTATGATTCTACGATGATATGAATAACTTGGGCAGCCCAAGGAATCTGCTCTGAGAACAGCCCAAGGAAAGGTCCCACTTCACCCCATAGGGAAGCATTGGGCTTCTCATGGCAGACTTAACTGCCTGTACACAAATGCCAGGAGCTTGGGAAACAGACAAAAGGAACTGGTCCTTCTCCTATGTGAAAATGGCTATGACCTATGATTGGTCGCTTGCTTTAGAGGGTTACACCTTGTATAGGAGAGACTGTGTGGGGAAGAGGGGCGGGGGTGTTGCTCTTTACATCAAGGATCAGTTCACTTCCCTGCAAATTGAATTTTCTAACCAGGATGGGCATCTTGAGACCCTCTGGGTCAAAATGCAGGGCAAACACAGGGAGGATAACATACTTGTAGAAGTTTACTATAGACCTCCCCACCAAGAGGAATAACTAGGTCAGGAATTCAATAGAGAACTGGTTGAAGCTGCATGCTCCTGATGCATGATAGTGATGAGGGGCTTCAACTTCCCTGACATCTCTTGGGATGAGTGCACAGCCAAATCTGACAGGTTGCGTAGCTTTTTCACTTGCATAGATGACCTCTACGTAACGCAGGAGGTCTATGGGCCAACTAGCGGGGAGAGGCATTGTTTGATCTGGTCCTGGCCAAAGGGGAGTACCTGGTGAGTGATGTGAGGATTGAGGGAAAGCTTGGTGACAGTGACCATGAGTTGGTCACCTTCTTAGTTCACTGAGGAGCAGGCAAACCTGGGAGTACACAAGGAATGGTCAGCTCTCAAAAACATAATACTTGAAGCACAAGGGAAAGCCACTCCATCTCACAAAAAATGTAGTCAATGGGCAAGGAAGCCCCCTTGGCTGAACAGGGAACTGTTGGACCTCATTAAACTCAAAAGAGAAGCCTACACCAGTTGGAAAATGGGAAGCATCACCGAAGAGGGCTACTCAGCATTCACCTGTACCTGTAGAGAGCAGTCCAGAAAAGCCAAAGTACAAACCGAACTCAAGCTAACTATGGTAATCAAGGACAACAAAAAGTTCTTCAGATATGTGCGAAGTCAAAAAAAGAACAAAGATAGCATTGGGCCCCTGCAAGATCTAATGAGGCAACTGACATCTGATGCTTAAGAAAGGACCAATCTCCTAAATGACTTTTTTGCATCAGTTTTTCACCCTCCCAAGGGAATCACACTGTCAGAAAGGACACAAACCTTCCTGGGAGCAGGTCATGGGCCCCAAATTGATGTGGATCGGGTAAGGGAACACCTCGAGAAACTGGAGATTCACAAATCCACGGGCCTGGATGGAGTGCACCCGAGAGTCTTGAAGGAGCTGGCAGACATCATTGCATCCCCCTTGGCAAAGATATTTGAAAACTCATGGTACTTGGGCGAGGTCCCAGAAGACTGGAAAAGAGCCAATGTGGTCCCTAGCTTCAAGAAAGGGAGGAGGGATGACCTGGGGAATTATAGACCAATCAGTCTGATGTCCATTCCTGGAAAAATCTTGGAGAAAATTGTGAAGGCATCCATCAACACCAGACTAATAGAAGGCAAGCATCTGAATGCCAGCTAACATGGCTTTGTGACTGGTGGGTCTTGCCTGACCAACCTCATCTCCTTCTATGACCAGGTAACACATGCCCTGGACAAGGGAGATGATGTGGATGTCATATATCTGGATTTCAAGAAAGTCTTTGACCTAGTTCTCCATGATGTCCTCCTGGTTAAGCTGGGGAACTGTGGCTTTGATCATCTTACGGTCCGATGGCTAGGTAAATGACTACAGGTTTGGACCAAAGAGTACTAGTTGATGGGAGCAAATCAGTGTGGTGCAGGGTGACCAGTGGAGTCCCTCAGGGCTTGGTATTTGGGCCAGTACTCTTTAACATCTTCATTAATGATCTGGATTCAGGAATTGGATGCGAACTGGCAAAGTTCACAGATGACACCAAATTATGGGGGAGGATGGTCACACTGCAGGACTTCTGGGGATACAGGCCGACTTGGACATGCTTTCAAGGTGAGCTGACCAAAACCTGATGGCCTTCAATGTAGAGAAGTGTAAAGTGCTGCACCTTGGTAGGAAGAATTTCCAACATACTTACAGACTTGGCAACACTACACTCATTAGCACCATGACCGAAAGAGACTTGTGGGTCTTGATTGACCACAAGATGAATATGAGCGACCAATGTGATACTGTGGCTGGCAAAGCAAATCAAATGCTGGTGTGCATGCACCAAGCAAAACCAGGAATGTCATCCTCCTGCTTTACTTGACCCTGGTGAGACTGCAGGTGGAGTACTGCATCCAGTTTCAGGCCCCCACTTCAGGAGGGATGTGGAAAAACTTGAGAGAGTCCAGAGGAGAGCCACTCATGATCCAAGGCCTGGAGGGCAGGCTGCATGAGGAGAGGCTGAGGGATTTGGGACACTTCAGTCTGGAAAAAAGAAGGCTCAGGGGGGACTAGCAGCCTACAATTACATAAGAGGAGTACATTACGACCTGGGAGAACAGCTGTTCACCAGAACTCCCCAAGGGATAACAAGGTCTAACGGCCATAAACTCCAGGAAGGCTGATTCTAGACATAAGAAAACAGTTCTTTATGGTGTGAGTGTCCAGGGTCTGGAACAGATTCCCCCAGAGGTGGTGCAAGCACCTACTCTGGACTCTTTCAAAAAACATATGGATGTTTTTCTTTCTGGGGTCACTTGATCCCAGCTGACTTCCTGCCTACGGCAGAGGGGGAAAGGGGGAGGCTGGACTCAATGATCTCACAAAGTCCCTTCCAGCCCCTAATATCTATGAAATCGATGGTTCATCTGCTGGAGTTGGCTGAATGGTCTTCCCAAAAGATGTCAGGGTAGTTGAAATCACCCATGACAATCAAGTTTTTAGTACTGGCTGCTTCGATCAGTTCACTGTAGAATGTCTGGTTGCTCTCCTCTTCTTGGTCCCCTTCTCCTGAGCCCCCTTGTATCTTGGCCCAGAGGTTCTCAAGGGACTTCCCACTGCTATCAAATGTAACCTGCAGGGTGGGGTACTGTTCTTTCACATAGAGGGCCACGCATCCACACTTCTTCCCAACCCTGTCCTTCCTATAGAGTCTGTACCCTCCATATCCACTGCCTAGTTGTATGTATTGTCCCACCAAGTCTCCATCAGTCCAATGAGGTCAAATTCCTCATCTGCCAGAAGGAGTGCCAGTTTGTCCTGTTTGTTGCCTATGCTTCTGGCATTCCAATAAAGACAGCTGAGCTCACCCCTAGTTGTCTCATGTTTCCTGTCCCTCTGCAAGTGTCTCTGGGCATTGGTAGTTATCTGGATGTCCGCTATGTGAATACCCTCCTCTGGGTCCTCTTGGTCAAAGGATTTATGCCCAGCAGCAGATTTATGCTCAGCAACGGAATCTTCCCCCACTCCCCTGGGCTTGTCTAGTTTAAAGTCCTCTTCAGAAAATCTACAATTCTCATGGAAAAGAGTTTCTTTTCTCTGCCCGTGAGGTGGATACCATCTCTTGCATGCAGACCAGTGCTGTTGAACTACACACCAAGGCTGAAGAATCCAAAGCCAGCACAGTAACACCAAACTCCAAAGCCTTTGGTTGACTTCTTTGATGTATTCCTTCCTCTGCTGGCCTCTGACTCTAATTGGGAAGATTGAGAAGAAGACCACTTGCTCTCCTAGTTCCTGGAACTTCACCCCCATGGTCTTGTAATCACTCATGATTCTCCCAAGGTTGTTTCTTGCTGCGTCATTGGTGCCCACATGGACAAGGAGCATGGGGTAGTCATCAGACCAGTTTTGGTAACCTTGCAATTACATCTCAGATCCTGGCTCCTGGAAGGCAGCAGACCTCTTGAGCAAAGGGGTCTGGATGACATATGTCACCTTCTGTTCCTTGCAGTAAGGAGTCTCCCACAACAATCACCCTACGCTACTTCAGTGGTGGTGGCTAGTCCTGTCTTGTCTTTGGTGTGTTGAACATGGATGCCTCTTCCGTTGATGGTGTGAGGGCTGCACAGCTGTTGTGTACAGCTATTGGTGGAGCAGCTGAGGCACATCATGGCCTTGGGCCTGATGTGCCCAATCTGCACTCTCCATCATTAGGGGCATCTCACTGAAACTTGCTCTTCTTTCTGAACTCCGTGTCATATTTTTTCTAGGTGCAGTGTCTGGCAGTAAGCATTGATGTCCTCCTCATGCTTCCTTGTCTGCTCACGTCCTCCTGGAGCTTTCTCACCTGGCCCTCCAGATAGGGTGACCATTCATTTAGTTTTAGAGAGGACAGTCTGGTTTTCTTGTCCTTTGTCCCCTGTCCTCTACTGATATGAATCCTGATGCCTTTATGTCCTCTATTTTTCACCTCTTGGCATCCCCCACCTGCTGCTGCCAACATTGCCTTGGCTGCCTGCAGGAGCTCACTGACGCCACACCCCCATCACCCACACCTCTGCCGCTGCCAGCTGTGGGACCTTGCCATGCCCCCCCCTCCCCCCCCCAGCCTTGGGAGGTACATAGCATTCATGGTGGTGGGGACAGTTGCACTAAATGCAACTGTCCTCTATTCTTGCGGTACTTCAGTGGCCACCCTACCTCCAGAGTCTCCACCAGTGAGCACATCCCACAAGTGGGAGTGCCTGTACAGCAGGTCCCAGCCTCCAGCAGGTGTGCCAGGCAGCTCTTACAGCCTGGAGTCAAGGGCTCAATTTGCATGGAGGCTGGGACAATGGACCTGATCTGGGTAGAGGCTCTAGAGGTACCAGGAGTGGGAGATCCAACCAGCTCAGGAAGTCTCAGGGTGTGGTGCATACCCATCACCATGTTCCTGGGTGAGCCCTGTTTGCGTGGCTCCTTAAGTGCTTATTTGAATAAGAGTCCAGGTGGGTATGATTACCCCATGTGGCCTTCTCCAGCAGCTGCTGCTGTTGTTGTGGCCTGGCAGACAGGCTCAGGTAGCTGCCTAAAGGGGGTCTTCTGGCTTCCTGGCTACAAGAGCAGTCAGCTTTCTGGCATCTCGATCAGTTGAGGGGGATTCTCTGGGTCCCCTGGTGTCTCCCTGGAGTGGGAGTGTGTGGAAGGGCATCTTTGGTGCCTGCCACTTTAAGACCAGCAAACAGGCAGCAGCCAAGTGCCTGATGAGGGCAGCCAATTTTGCCCAGGGATATAAACTGGGCTGCAGTTTGCTGCAAGAAGGAAACATCAGGCTGAGAGGCTGCTGCAGCCAGAGTCAGGAAGTAAGGGTAGGGGCTATAGGGAGGAGGTGACCCCTTGTCCTGGGTAAGATATAAAACTGCATCCTGCCAAGGGAAGGGTGGTCTGGTGAGGCTCCTACTGGCATGGGAGCCCCCAGGAAATGCCAGGCCAGTTACTTCCCTGGTGAAAGGCAGGTTGGGGAGCCTTAAGAACCCCAACCCCACTTCCCTGGTGGTGTTCTAGTGAGCAAGGGGAGCCCAGGGCTCAGTTACAGAGCCGTGAGGCAGAGCTCAGGCTGGAGGGGGGACCTAGGGCTGCACGCAGGTGGCAGAGGAAAGCCTGGGAGCACAAGTCAGACCCTGTGTGAGAGGGGCAATGAGTAGAAAGACCCTGTGTGAGACAGGTGATGAGTAGAGTGGTCCATGAGTGTGAGCAAGTGAGGAGGCCCAGTGCAGGCATAGTGGCCGGTGAGGGACTAGGAGCAAAATAGGCCTACAGTTGTACAATCACTCAGTCAACGCTCAAGTGAGAGTAGCGAGAGAGACCCAAAAGACTGCACCGGCGCCAACCAAGGTGAGGAGACCTAAACCCAAAGCCAGGTGAGGCTGAGAAGGATGAATGTGGCCCCTGAGAGAGGGCAGTATGAAAGAGGCTGGGTGACAGCCAGTGAAGTGAGTGGGACCCTGGTGAGAGAGGGGTGGCATGTGAGTGGCCTTCTGGGGCTGTAGAAAAGAGCTACAACTGTGTGCCCAGTTTGCTACAGCCATAGGCTGGAGAAATAACAGCAGAATAACATCTACAAGGCATGGGACCCATGAAGGGGAGGTCGGAGCCATCAATGTGATGCTGCAGCTAGTAAAGCGAGCAAAACACTGGCTTGTATCCATAGATGCTTCTCAAGCAAATCCTGGGATGTCATTCTCCCACTGTACTCAGCCTTGGTGAGGCCACAGCTGGAGTGCTGCATCCAGTTCTGGCCTCCACAGTTCAAAAAGGATGTGGAGAAGCTTGAGAGAGTCCAGAGGAGAGCCATGCTCATGATCAGAGGTCAGGAAAACAGACCTTATGATGAGAGGCTGAGAGCTATGGGACTCTTCAGCCTAGAAAAGTGCAGGCTCAGGGGTGATCTGGTGGCTAGCTATAAGTTTATAAGGGTTGCTCACCAAGATCTGGGGGAACATCTGTTCACCAGAGTGCCCCAAGAGATGACGAGGTCGAACAGTCACAAACTCCTCCATAACTGTTTCAGGCTGGACATAAGGAAGAACTTCTTTACTGTCTGAGCCCCCAAGGTCTGGGATAGACTGCCGCTGGAGGTGGTTCAAGCACCTACTTTGAATGGCTTCAAGACACATTTGGATGCTTATCTTGCTGGGATCCTATGACCCCTGCTGACTTCCTGGCCCTGGGGCAGGGGGCTGGCCACAAAGATCTTCCAAGGTCCCTTCCAGCCCTAATGTCTATGAAATCTATGGAGCGGGTTTTAGGTCCTTGTCAACAGGGTACGTAATGGGTAGCCTCCAGCCTTTGTAATAACTCTCATATTTTTCCATCAAGGAGTGGCAGGAGAGCAAAGCAGGTGGTTACCCCAGGAGAAGGGCAGCCAGTGAAGATGTGACGAGGAGGCCACCCTGTTACAGGGGAGCTGATCCCTTGACCCCTTTACCAGGGTTCCAGTGCCAGAGGTCTACCTCATGGTGAGGGGGCCCTGGCTGCCCAGTGGTGCAACAGGCATGGGGTGTACTGTGCACCTCTGCCAGGGGATAAGTTGGAGGCAAGAGCTTGCTGGTGGTCCTTCCGCACACCCTCCTGTGCAAATTCCCATGCTAACTCCATGCGCCAGAGCAGAGTATGCCTGTTTGCACAGCTCCCTAGGGGGCTGGGCTGGGCTAAGTAGAAGCTGGTGTGACCACTCCACCCCCTTGGCTCCTCTTAGCTGCATCCCACTCCTAAGTAGGGCCCTCCCACCATGGGCCCGCTTACCTAGCAGCTCTGTAATGGAGGGGAGATTGGAGTCTGCCAGAAGGGTCTGCTGGGCTCTTCGGCTTCAGCTCTCAGGGATGTGATGGGCTTGCACCTGTGCATCTCCTCCAGAGAGCTGTCCCAACTCTGCAAAATTTGAATAACAAAAGCCAGTGTGATGTCCTCTATGCTTTAGATCAGCAGGGGCCAATATTTTTGGTAGGAATGCCATAAATTAGCCTTGCACCCTCCCTAAGTGCCACTTGGATACCTCCCTCTGTTCTATCTGCTGCTCTGCTGTCTGCCCCCTGCCCTATCTGTTGTAATGCCTGTCCCCACACAGAAGCTATCTCTACCACTAGTTGGCCACCTCTGCTTTAGATAGTTTCTCTAGGTTTACAGTCCATGCTACGGCACACTAGCTACTAGCACACTGAGATATGGGTATAAATAATTAAACCTACATAAAAACTGAGATGGTATATAAACAAAGAACTCCTTGCTTTTCTCTTACACTTACAGAAATCATGATGAGAATGCTGTACAGCAATGTTCTGCCTATCCAGTACCTCACAGACATTACTGTATTTAACCTCCCAGCATTCTTTGATGGTCAGTATTACTATTCCCAGTTTATGTGTGTAGAAACAGAGTCACAGAGAGGTTAAGTCATGGACTGTGTGGTACAGACAGAAGCAGAATGCAGATTTCCATAACACCCTTTTGGCTGTTTCACTGCTGCTACCTAGCATAGCTCAGTGCTTTGGAAGTGGTTGCTCAAATATGTTCTTTTTCCTGCAGCCTCTGAAACCCTTTGTTTATTCATAGGGAGATGCTGAGCTTAAATGTTTTTTAAGTGAAAAAAATTACAGAAATTGGCTGTTTGCCCTCATCCCCAGCAGGAATATTTCCCAATCTGCTGCTTTTTTCTGTTTCAATTTTTAACACAGTTCATACATCACAGAATGATTCTTGTAAAGCAGCATTTCCTTTTGGCCTATGGAAGTAGCACAGGGCATCTTAACAAATCTAATTCTATGTTCTGCACAGCCACCAAGTCCTTAAGTTTCATCAGGATCTCTGAGCTCCCCTCATGCACACTCTCAAGTAACTGTTCAATTTATACCTGGGTGCAAAGATTTAGATGAAGACAGATCCATTATCATATCACTTCAGCAGCTGAGAACTGCTACTGGGGGAATTTATTTTGCAGCAAACAAATCCCATGAAGATTTGCATGAAAAATAAAGGCTTAACCCTCAGTTTGCTGCTGCCTCTCATTGATCTTCAGCTTACCTTCCAGGGGAGGGGGAGTAGTGATACCTATGTTCAGTATGAACGTACACTGACTGAGAACTAACAAAAATGAACTTTGTGGGGCAATAGGCAATCTTACCAGATCCTTTGTCCAGGTATCGCTCTCATTCATTCACTAGCTCCCTAACTGAAGGACCATCTCCCAGTTACCAGCTTTCTTAGTCTCCTTAGAGTTTGTTTTTGGAGACCATGCCCACCTCAGCATAGAGATGCTGTGTTTGAGGGGGTTTTATGGAGTCATGGCATAACTGGAAAGAGTTGCAGGGTGAACTGTTATTGGAGGGAGGTTGAATGCTTGTTAAGTGCTAGTTAGGGTGCAGCCAGCATTTCTTGTAAGAAAAAAGATGAAAGAAACCCCACCCACCTCCAGGTGCAAGCAGGCAATCTGCAAAACATCTCCAGGCATGGACCTCCCAGGGCCTTTAGTCTTTAGCAAATCTTTAAAGACTTTAGCAAGTCCTTAATGCATTATAATGCATTTCATATGCATGGTCACTGAGGGAGGTGGGGGGTTGGGGTTAATGCCTGCTGCCACAGCTCCAAAACAGCTGCTGCTTTGTTTCTGAGTGTTTTTCTTTGCAGGATATACTGTTATGGGAGGTGTGATGCAAAAATTATTTTCTTTTCAATGCTTTCTTTGCAATGCAATGTTTTCTTTACAATAGGTATTGGCATGTCCTCATCAGATGAGTCTCTGCTAAGGAGGGAGTTACTAATCAGCCACAGTCAGGGTTTCAAAAACCACTGCTCCCTATAGAGAAGCCAGAAGTGGCTATCCCCGGACATACATTGAGGTGCATAGAAGGGAGGCCAACCAATCTGAAATACAGGCCCTGACCAGCTTTCTGTCCAGCCTGGGAAGCTACTGCACTCCCACCCCTGGCCAGCTGCAAACCTGTCCCCCGCTCCCAAGTCCATGCCCTGAAATCAAGCAAGAGGAAGTACAAATCAGAATTTTTTGTTCCTCATATTTATTTTTTCACAATAAATTGAATTGCAATCAATTTGATTGAGAAATCACAATGAAGCTAAAACAATATACACATTTTTGTTTTACACAACAATGCCATTGGTAATGTTGGTAATACATTTTTTTTACAGTACAGTCATTGCCAGAAAACACAATACAATAGGATAAACCACCAATTCACAATATGCTCCCAAGGTCCCTTGAGTAATCCCTTGATATGATATGGATGGATGGAGGGCTGCATGGTGGAAGAGGGAGGGAGGCAGGCAGCCAGCCAGCCAGCCTGGTTACTGGCCCTTCCTGGTTACTGGCCATGTCCCAGCAGTGCTTTATTTTTGGTTTATATGGCATGCATAGCCAATGGGGGGTCGGTGGGGTGGTTTTTGGAGAGCTGATGACCACACAACTTTTATGGAGTCATGGCATTACTGGAAAGTTGCAGGGTGGACTGTTATCAGATGGAGGGAAGTCAAATGCTTGGCCAGAGCTAGTGTGCAGCCAGCATTTCTT